AAGTTCACGAGCCAAAGATCAAGTTACATGTTGAACGTGGAAGGTGGAACGGAGTTGAAAAGCTTGAGCCATGCAAGGGACGAAGGAACCTAAAGTGGCTACTATGCAACTGCATAGTAGCACAAGCCATAAGATCGCATGGCTCCAACCCGAGTGCAACCCTGCAGCAAGAAGATGTTCCATGCGACCACATCAGTATAATTCTGGGAAAAATTTTCCTTCTTCGGCGCGAATTTCCTATTTTCATTAGAACTCTAATCTTTTAATATTTTTACCATATTTTGAACGCATTTTCCGTTTTAATTAGGTTTTTAGGATTACATATAATTAGGATTCTTATTTTCCATTGTACACAACTTTGATATTTTGAGAGAATTAATTCAAAGCGGTTGTTTGCTTCCACTTTCTTATTCTTCATTGAACAAATCGAACTTATCAAGATTAACAATCTTGTGGCGTTCACAATCCGAGTGAGATTCGTAAATTGTGTAATCAAGAGGTCGATAATTTCTTAATTATTGGTTACTTGATTCATTGTTTGTGAATTAAATCCAAAACCTTGACTTGTTGGCATTCTTGGGAATTGATTTCAATCTCATGTGGGTTTCATAGTCGTCGTTACTACACGGGTTCACATCAATTGCTATCAAAGCTTAGACTCCAAAATCAAGTTATATCTTTCTTTATTATTTTGTTGAGGTTATATTCTTGTCTTTCATTATTCTTCGTATTCTTCATAATTGTCAATTGTGTTGAGTTTTTGATCCATAAAAGTCCCATCAAAATTTCAGAAGTTGTTATTGGGCTAATTTTGCATCCAAATTAACTTCCATTTGTTTTATTGGTGTCGTAATCAATTTTTCTATCCAAAGAGTCCCAAAAAAAAATCTGAAAAATCAAAATTCAAAAGAGAGAGAGAGAGGGGGAGAGATAAATCCAAAAATTAAAAAAAATATATTATTATTATTTATTTTGGGAATTGTCAGCCTTCTACAAAGTTTAGAATCAAATTTGATCTGTCCAGTCCAGTCTAAAATTCAAGAACCACTTTCATGAATTTCATAATTTCCTTTCAAATTTGCCCAATTTTTTTTTAGTCCCTTAAAATCACAAAGTCTCACAATTCATCCGATTTAATCCCACAAGAATTATTCGGGATTGAGTTCAAATTTATTTTTGAAGCCATTGATTGGAAGCATTGAGTGGGAAAAAGACAGAGTGGTGGGATCAATAAAGGATAAAAACTATATTGAATGAAATTACAGTGAGGCAGAAATATCACAGAGCTAGGATGTTTGACAAGGAATGTTCCAATTCAAGCAGGATCAACAATCAATTCAACATGCTTGATGACTTGATGCCGAAGTTTGAGAGATTGTTAGTGGATATAGGTTGGATGGGCTTGATACATCGGTTACCAATCTTAGTAGGGGACAACGAGCTGAAGTTCCTAATGCAAAGAGACCAGGTAGACAAGAACCTAGATTGGAGATACGTGATGAGTATGGATATGGTAGTGATCTGGATGAGGAGACATTAATGGAGGATGGAAAGGGAAGAATGGGGGATAGAGGCGATAGGTTTGAAAGACGGGGTAGGAATAATGTTAGATATGAAGTAGATGGAGCATGGGCAACATAAAAATATCTATTCCACCATTCAAAGGAATGAGTGATTCGAAGGCTTATCTAGAATGGGAGAAAAAGGTATAGCTGATTTTTTAGTGCCACAATTACTCGGAGGAGGAGAAAGTAAAGATAGCAGTCCTTGAGTTCATTGATTATGCAATAACTTGGTGGGATCAAGTGATGTTATTGAGGTGAAGGAATAGGGAAAGACCTACCAATACATGGGATGAGTTGAAGGCAATAATGTGGAAAAGATTCATACAAAGTCATTACTATAGGGAGCTCTATCAAAAGTTACAAAGTTTATACCAAGGGTCGAGGAGTGTGGAGGACTATTTAAAGGAGATGAAAATATTAATGATTACGGCGGATGTAGATGAGGATCGAGAAGCCACGATGGCTAGATTTTTGAACGGGTTGAATAAAGACATTGCTAATGTAGTAAAGTTGTAGCATTATGTGGAGCTAGAAGACATGCTACATATAGTCATGAAGGTGGAGAGGCAATTGAAGCGAAAGGGGCAACTCGGTGTCAATCGAGGCCTAATTCATCTTTGAAGTCAAGATGGGATGATGAAAGGATTGATGGGGCCGTTAAAAACAATAAAACTGAAACACCAAAGGGAAAGGAGGAAGTTGCTAGCAAGATTGCACCAAAGGCGGAACCACAGCCATCTAGGAGTTGAGATATCAAGTGTTTCAAGTGTTTGGGATTGGGGCACATTGCTTCTTATTGTCCAAACAAGCAAGCCATGATCTTGAGTGCCAATGGGGAAGTAGTGAGTGATAGTGACAGAGATGGGATGCCTGAACTAGAGAATGTTAGTAGTGGTGAAGTGGTGGAACACCAGTCGAAGGTGAAGCACTTGTGGTGATGCGTGCTTTCAACACACAAATCCAGGTAGAAGAAGAGGAGCGGGGGAACATTTTCGAAGGTGAAGTACTTGTAGTGATGCGTGCTCTCAACCCACAAATCAAGGTGGAAGAAGAGGAGCAACAACGGGAGAACATTTTTCATACTCGATGCCATGTGGAGAACAAAGTATGTAGCTTAATAATCGATGGAGGTTGTTACACTAACATAGCTAGTACCACATTTGTAGAGAAGTTAGGCTTGGCTACTACAAAACATCCTAAGCCTTACAAATTACAGTGGTTAGATGATTGTGAGGTTAAGGTGAATAAAAGAGTACTAGAAAACATTTCAATTGGGCGATATAAAGATAAAGTGCTGTGTGATGTTGTTCCTATGCATGTTGGGCATATATTGTTGGATAGGTTGTGGCAGTATATAGGAAGGTGAAGCATGATGGGTTTAGAAATAGGTACAGCTTTGACAAAGATGAAAAATCTATTACTCTTGTACCTTTAACACCACAACAGGTCCATGAAGACCAGGTGAAATTAAGAGGTGAGGAAGAAAGAGAGACGAAAGGAGATCTCGAGAGAAAATGGCGAGGTGCCTAAGTGTGAAAAAAAACGAGTTGAGCCACAAGAGAAAAGAAAGAGAGTCTATGCTGAAAAGAAAGAGGTTTAGAGTGATTCGGTGAGGACTAAAAAATCCATCCCCAATTTGAATAGCTCTTCGATGTAGGAATGTGAGAATTTATTGCATGAAGACTTTCTTCAAGGAGTATCACCATTTGAAATCTGGTCGATGCAATGTAATTGGAACATCTGTGGAGCATTGAAGAAGTACCATTCAACGATAACATTGCGGCGTATCAAGATTCCAAGCAAGGGTTGTATAATGTTCTAGTAGATGGAGGGCCAGAAATGGAATTACATTTGTTCCAAGATAGTGAATGGAAGAGGCGTAAAATATTCAGACTTGGTGATTGGGTTTAGGAGAATTAGCAAAAGGGACGTGATCGATTGCAATGAAGATCCAAGCTTCATCCGAGAGGAGACGGTCCATTCCATGGCATTGCAAAGCTTGAGGGCAATGGATACAAATTTGATCTTGAAGTTCTAGATTCGAGAACGAATCTTTCGAAGAGGGAGGGGACAGGCCGAAAATTATCAAGGAATTGACGAATGTTAACAAGAGGCCAAGACCAAGATTCGAGTTCAATTCAAGCCAACAGGCCACACAAATACTTGTTCAAGCTATGTAGCTCAAAATGTTGAAGTTCACGAGCCAAAGATCAAGTTACATGTTTGAACATGGAAAGTGGAACAGAGTGGAAAAGCTTAAGCTATGCAAGGGACGGAGAAACCTGAAGTGGCTACTATGCGACTGCATATTCACACAAGCCATGCGGTCGCATGGCTCCAACCCCATGGTGGCACAGTATAATTCAGGGAAAAATTATCCTTTTTCGCACGAGTTTTCCTATTTCCATTAGAACTCTAACCTTTTAATATTTTTATCATATTTTGATCGTATTTTCCGTTTTAATTAGATTTTTAGGATTTCATATAAATAGAATTCTTATTTTCCATTGTACACAACTTTGATATTTTGAGAGACTTAATATAAAGGGGCTGTTTGCTTCCACTTTCTTGTTCTTTATTGAACAAATCACACTTTTCAAGATTAACAATCTTGTGGCGTTCACAATCTGGGTGAGATTCGTAAATTGTGTAATCAAGAGGTCGATAATTTCTTAATTACTGGTTGTTTGGTTCATCGTTTGTGAATTATATCCAAAACCTTGACTTGTTGGGGTTCTTGGGAGTCGATTTCAATCTCGTGTGAGTTTCGTAGTCGTCGTTGCTATGCGGGCTTCACAACAAGAAGTAGCCAAATGTCATTCACTACGCTTATAGTATAAGATTTCAGAATTTATCTTGCCTACTATGTCTAGAAAAAAAAATGTTTTCTGGTATTGGATTATATGACATCGGGCGATGGCAAAGGAAATCGAGTTCCTTGATTTGGCTCAATCAGATCAAATAAAGAATGACTATGGTTGATTATTGATTTAGTGTCCTCGAAGCAATTTAATTATTTTAATCAGACTTGCGAAACATTAGGCATTTTTTCTTACCTTATAAATGTCTATTCTGTCCAACAAACCTCAATAAGAAAATCTGAATTATGAGTATGTTCATCTCATTTCTTCCTCGGAAGTGCATTGATTTTCAGTCCCTCTCATTATGTTCATCTCATTTCTTCCTCGGAAGTGCATTGATTTTCAGTCCCTCTCATGATCATGAATTATCATATGCTAGAGCATATTGGTCAACAGGATTATGTATGCCTATGCTAGATATACCCACACCACGTATACATACATCCCGAGTCCTCGCGATGTATTTCCGAGCTAAACCGGATAAACCAATATCAACTGAATTCTATCAAATGCAGTCCTTTGACTTCGCATCCAAATAAACCAACATGGAAAAAAAATAAAATAATAATAATAATAAATTGGAGACGTGAATAATTCTTATACTTTAAATACAATTTATTTAATTTCTTGATACAGAAGTCTTGTGAACGGCCTAGCCAGCTAAAGCAATACAAACAAAACGATATAGTATTATACTGACAAAATAAATTTGATGATAAATTTGTTACATGAGGAAATAAGAATGATCCAATTCCTGCAGGCAAAATCAACACGGACTTACTTTGTATCCAAATGTAACGGCGATGAAGACTCCCGATTCACCTGCTTTCCTGAGGCAGAGGACAATATTCCTGCAGTTTGAAGGGACGAGGAAGAAGAAGGAGCTGGCACTGAAGCTGTAATAGTCGAGAGGGCGCTGTTACTACTACTAGCATATAAACTGGTTCCCCCAACAGAACCCTCGATTGCGGCCTTAGGGGCCGGTGGCTTGTCAATTTCAGTGATCCCTTCCAACATTTGAACCACCTTACCCATCATAGGCCTTTGAGACGGTTGCTCTTGGATACACCAAAAGCTAACCTGAATTGCTCTAATCACTTGCTCCATATCTATCTCATTCCGGGGAAGCCTTTTATCCACAATGGAGTAAAAATTGCCCTTTTCAAACTCCTCGTACGCCCACACTGAAAATTTCACGTGGTTTGTCTCTTCTGATACATCAAAATTCCTCCTTCCGCTTACAATCTCCAACAACACCATCCCATAACTGTAGATGTCGGATTTGGAAGTTATTGGAAGGTTAGCAAGCCATTCTGGAGCCAAGTATCCTCTAGTCCCCCTCACACTCTTCAAGGTTCTATACCTATGATCTTTTGGATTAACAAGCTTTGCAAGACCAAAGTCGGATACTTTTGCATTGTAGTTCTCGTCAAGAAGTATGTTTTCAGGCTTTATATCACAATGAACAATGCAGTCCCGGCATTCCTCGTGCAGGTACATGATCCCCTTTGCAGTCCCGAGAGCAATGCTATAACGATATTCCCAACTCAAAAGCTTTCCGGATTGTTCCTTAGAGATAAAGAGGAATTTATCGAGAGAACCATTTTTCATGAACTCGTATACTAATAACCTATGTCGCCCTTCCAAGCAGAATCCAATCAGTCTCACCAAATTCAAATGGTGAGTGCTGCTGATTGTTGCCACCTCCATTCTAAACTGTTTCTCACCTTGTTCAATCCCCTCCAACTGTTTCACTGCAGCCACCGTCCTATTCGCAAGTACCCCTCTATAAACGGCCCCAAATCCTCCCGCTCCAAGCTTCTCCTTAAAACCCTTTGTCGCCTTCTGAAGTTCCTTATAAGAGAATTGCACTGGTGCACCAGATGCATACTCAAGAAGTGCGTAATGTCCTGACAATCCTCCAAATTTAGGACTATTCCTAAAGCAGCACCACCACAAACCGCCCTCAACAACCACCAGCCCCAAAATTGTGACCACCATGACCACCACAACTAACCACGTTGACAACTTCCATCCATTCCTTCTCCCGCCACCCGTCCCATCCATGGAGGGAGTAGGCGCCACCGGCCCACAAACCTTCATAAAAGAAGTACTAGGAATTGCAGGCGAATGATACCCACTGATAAAGTCACTGGATTTCAAGTAGCACTGCCCCGATCCATCCGACAAGGAAGTAGACGCTTTGCAAGAACCTGCAAGACAATTCAACTTACAAGCCGAGATAGCAATGTAGAAAATTTGCGTGGATAATTCAGGAGGGTAAGTTAAGAACATGGAATGATCCAATTGCAGCATATTCTCCCTCCCTGGGCAATTCTGAAGCTCAACTTTTCTCTTGCACCCTTTTCTGCTGTCCCTCTTATCAACGAGTTCAAAATTATCCGAAGGACACCCACAAATCGGGTTTGAATCGTTGTAACTGCATATTCCCAAATTGCCACAGAATGCATAAACCTGGCACTGATCACCCACTGCTGCCCACCTCTCAATTTGATTTCCACTACCTGAGATATAACTGTAAATGCGCAAATTCCCATCCTCATCTAATTTGAGAAACCTTAGTATTTTCCCTTCCTCCCCATAATCACTGCTGTAAGCTAAGTCGAGAGAGTTCGATAGCGTGGGATCGGAAAGTGTGAGGACTCCAGTAGATCGAATGTCAAGTACTGGATTGCTTAAGTTCGAATTCATGGTAGAATTCAGCCCGGAATTGTAATACTCAACTGAATTATTCCACCAAAGCGTCAAGTTCCCATTTTTTTGCAGCTTAAATGAGTAAAGCCCAGATGAAAGAGTATGTCTTACAGTGAAACTTTGCGTCGGAACAATTACGTCAGTTGGGTGGTCGAAGGAGGTCCACACGGCGGACCCAGATGCGTTCTTGAGGATCAAATTGCCGGAATCTTCAAGTGAAACCGCAGTGACGCTGAGATTGGCCGTGCCGGAGGACCAAACAGGAGTAGTGGAGGTGGAGGAAGGCAGGAGCTGGAGGTCGCCGGAGGCGACAAGGCGGACGACGGCAGAGGAATTCACGGAGGCTGAAGAGCCACCAGCTTTCCATATGGGGATGCTGTTGAAGGTAATAGCAGCATACAGGGCAGCAGCGCCGCCAGTGTCAACCGAGTCGGTAATGAAGGAAAGAGTTGTGCCATTGGGAGAGGTCCATTTGGAATTCGGGTCGGATGCATAAAGGGTCGACCCGAGTGGTATATCCGCCGCTAACACGGCGGCGAATGTGGCAAGGAGAGAGAGGAGCAACAGGGTGAATGCATTTAATACTAGTTGTAACATCTCTTTTCAAGCACACACTGAATAAATTGATACGTATAAATGTTTATATAGAAAATATTACACGCTGAGTGTGTGTGCGTGTAGATTGGTGGAGGAGAAGTTGACTTTAGATGTTGGGACACAGGTGGAGTCACGTTATCTTCATCTGACTGTTTCAGACACGCACAACTAGCTCTCACTTTTATTACCAGTGGTAATATTTGTATTATTAAGGACATGTTTAAGCCACATTTTTGTTTAAAAAATTATTTTTATGCAGTAATTTAATATTATTTTAATCTCATATTTTTTAATAAAAAATATTATATATAAATTCAAATTTTTATTTTTTTAATGATGCATTTTCCATCAATGCACTATTCAAAAATTCATTCTAAAAAAAATAATATGCCTCAAACAATGGCTATATCAAATTTATTTATTTCAAAACTTTTATTTTTTTACAAATTAAATTCAAATTTTTTATATGTACCACCTATAGTTCCAAATCTTTAAAACATTATTTTCCACCACACCCCATCCCATCCATCCGACCACTTCATCTTCTTCCCCAAATATTAAAAAATAATAGACGGGATGAAAAAATATGTATTGCAGTTCATCCCATGTTAACCTATAGGTCGTCGAGCACAAATATATAACGCTGGTTAAGAGTCCACCATTTCATGGTTTTGTTTGTTCAAGTTCTACTCTGTAGCATTCGACTTGCTTATTGTAGAATGACACTGGTGGGGTATTTTGAAGTTTGCTTAGTTGTCCTATGATTTCTTTGTATTTTGGAGTTTTGCGAATTACAACGTGCTTATTGTTAACTAGCCACTGCTCGATATGCTGCCAGCACTTCCGTTTAACGTTGGACGAAGTCATGATTATTGCACAGAGGTTTTGTCGAAATGCTGGCAACTGTTGATCCTGCACTGTGGACTATATCATGACTCATGAGTGCCAATTTTCAGAATTTCCCCAAGAGGCATAAATTGAGAGAGTTTTTATGTTTTGGGAGATGGGATTTTTAATTCGGACAGTGAATCATGGAAGAATCAAAGAGAATCCACGCACACGTTTATTAATCAGAGAGCCTTTTTCTTTTTTTTTTTTTTTATTGGG